TTCAGTATTTCCAGTCAGAGAGACCGAAGAAAGAAATACACCACGAACAAGGTATTCAGGAAGAATTTCTACAGATAAGTATATTTTCCCATCATCAGCTACATCACTGACAGGTAACTCAAAGCAAGAAGACTTCAAACAAAGAAACCAGTCTATTGTATGTGTTTTCTGTGGAAAGTCCCATGATTCATCAAACTGCTACATGGTGCAAAAGAAATCGGTAGAAGAAAGACTGCAGATTATCAAAGAGAAGAAGCTGTGCTTTAACTGCCTACGCCCAACTGGATCAAGCCACACAAGTGCCACYTGTAAACGTCCTGGTTGTTTGATTGAAGGTTGCAGCAAGAAGCATCAYGTACTTCTACATCGTGCCCAAAAGGAAAATGACGAACAGAAAGCATCGACGACAATGAGTGAAAGTCAAGGTTCATTATCCAATCAAGTAAAAGGCCATTCAGGGCTACTTACTGGCGTCTTTGGAGCTGATGTCAACAATCAGATCAGGTTACTGCCTACAGCGTTAGCAAGACTCCATTGCAATGGTAAAGAGCTAATGGTTCGTGTGCWAGTGGATAGTGGAAGTGATCATTCTTACATTCGTAGAGAAGTTGCACAAGCACTAAATTTGCCGTCCAATGGTCCATCAAAGTCGATGACAATATCCATGCACGGAGGACAAACAAGGAAGACGAAAGTTGAGAAYGTTAATTTTCAGGTATCACCTATCCATGACTTTAATAAGAAAGTCGAGTTGTCAGCATGGTCAGTAGAAACAGTTTGTTCACCGCTAGAACCAGTTCAAGTAGACATGTCAAGGTATAACCATCTTGGAGATCTTGATTTTGCTGACGAGTATCCAAGAGGAACGGTAGCAATTGATTTGCTGATAGGTGCTGATCAATGGGATCAAGTCATGTTGAATGGAATCCGAAAGGGTCCTCTACATACACCATTTGCCATGAATTCCATATTTGGATGGCTGCTGCTAGGATGTTCCGGAAAGTCTACGATGCAAGACATACAGAATGACAAGTTAGCTACCAACCTAAATACTGTTGTTTGTATTAGAGAAGATGCAGAGAATGATGAAGATTCCTTCAGCCTAAAGAAGTTTTGGGAATTGGAGTCTATTGGAATTATCGACCAGAAGAAGAAACTATCTAGTGAAGAAGATGAAGCACTACAGCAATTCCAATCAACCATTAACTTTAAAGAAAACAGGTATGAAGTTGGTCTACCGTGGAGATCGAATGCTCCAAAGTTGTTGCCGAACTACCAACAAGCTTCAAAACGGTTAACAAGAGTTGAAGAAATGCTACGCCAAAATGAGAGAAAGGAAACTATGTACAAAGAAGCTATGAATCAGTACACCAAARATGGTCATGCCAGAGAAATAACAGAGGAGGATCAACAAGCAAGCAAGATATACTATCTACCTCATCACCCTGTCTTTCGTGAAGATAAGACGACTACAAAATGTCGAGTGGTATTTGATGCATCTGCTAAAAATCGTCAAGGAATCTCACTTAATGACTGTCTTCTACCAGGACCAGCTTTACAGCCCAATCTGGTGTCAATCCTGCTTCGTTTCCGGTTGCACAGAATAGCGATGWTGGCAGACATAAGAAAGATGTTTCTGCAAGTAAAACTAGCATTAGAGGACCAGAATGTTCATCGTTTCCTGTGGAGAGAAAGCCAAGATGAAAGTCCAAAGACCTACTGCATGACGAGAGTAACGTTTGGTGTAGTAAGCAGTCCATTTGAAGCCATAGCAACTGTACAGCACCATGCCAAAGCTAACGAAGATAAGTTTCCAACAGCTGCWAAAGAAGTGGTAAAGAATATGTACGTGGATGATTACTTAAGTGGAGAAGAAGATGAAGATAAAGCATATTTCTTGCACAAAGACCTGTATGATATGATGAAAGYTGGTGGCTTTGAATTAGTAAAGTGGTATACTAATTCCGAAGAACTGAAGGATCGCATTTCACCAGAGCTTAGAGGTCCAACTACACTGGTAGAGCTGAAGAATGAAGCAGAACCCCTAAAAGCCCTTGGCATATCTTGGCATACAAGCAAAGATATTTTCCTGTTTAATCAAGGAGAAAATCTCATTCAGGTGAAAGACCAAATAACAAAGCGAAGTATCATCAGCATAGCATCGAAGCTGTTTGATCCATTAGGATTTCTCAGTCCTTACACAATAAGAGCAAAGATCCTTTTCCAAGAATTGTGGTTAAAAGGCATCCAATGGGATGAGCCATTAGATGAAGCGATAAGTGAAGAATGGCAAAAGTGGAAGGACGAACTTGTTGCCTTGAAAGATATCCAGATAACTCGATGTTTTTATGCAGAACAAAGTCAGATATTGAAGACAGAGCTACATGGTTTCAGCGACGCAAGTCAAAAGGCCTATGGAGCTGTAGTGTATCTCAGAAGCAGAGATGACAAAGACAACATCAGAACACATCTGGTCATGGCAAAAAGTAAAGTTGCACCAACCAAACGTATATCGCTCCCAAGACTGGAGCTATTAGCTGCATATATTCTGTCTAAGCTGATCAGGTTTATCATGGAGTCATTAAATATGGAAGTTCGAGATGTGGTGTGTTSGTCTGACAGTAAAGTTGTTCTTGCGTGGATTTGTCAACCTAGCCACAAGTGGAAAGTTTTTGTAGCTAACCGAGTGCAAGAAATTCAAGAAAAGGTYCCTCCAGAGAAATGGCGTTTCTGTCCTGGTCACTTCAATCCCGCAGACTTACTCACCCGAGGAGAACATCTTACTAGTCTCATTGATAACGAAGTCTGGTGGAATGGCCCAAAATGGCTAAAGGAGTCTCAGGAAAATTGGTCAGAACGAGAAGTACAACTTCCATGTGCAGGTGCATTAGAAACAACCCAACAAGACATGTATCTTTCRGAAGCAAAAGGAAAGAACGCTGTTGCATTAACAAGTAAAAAGTTCTATGAGCTGCAAGATAGATATGAATCCTGGCAACGGTTAGTTCGAATCACTGCATGGTTACTCAAGTGGTCACGTTTAYGTAAGCAACCCAAGAAAGCGCACTTGACTGCACATGAAATCAAAGAAGCAGAAAATTCATTGCTAAGACAAGTGCAGAGAAACACCTTTGCTGATGAAATAAAAGAGCTAAAGCAAGGCAAACAAGCTTCCAAAAGTAGCAGCATTGTTAAACTAGATCCTCAACTTGACAAAGAGAAGGATCTTCTTGTGGTTGGTGGACGTCTACAATTCGCGCAAATCCCAGAAGAAATGAAACATCAAATCATAATTCCTCATAAGAACAAAGTGATCGAAAAGCTAATATTACATGTACATGCAAAGGCTCAGCATGCAGGACCAGAAACGACATTGGCAATTCTACGCCAGAGATATTGGCCTACACAAGGAAGAAGAGAAGTAAAACGAGTTTTGCACAATTGCTTGATTTGCAAACATTGGACAACAAAGCCAGTCCAACAGAAGATGTCCCCACTTCCTTTGGAAAGAGTTCAAATAGTTCCACCATTTACAAATATTGGTCTTGATTTTACTGGTCCTTTGTATCTGAAAACGGAAGGAAAAGCAAAGTTAATCAAGGCTTACATTTGCATATTTGTTTGCGAAGATTCGAGAGCGGTTCATCTGGAACTCACAAACAACATGACGACAGAGGAATTTCTGCAGGCTTTTCGGCGCATGGCCAATCGTCGTGGAGTGCCTAAAGTCATACATTCAGACAACCAAACAACCTTTCACAAAGCAGCGAAAGTATTCAAAATATYAAAACWGAAGTCCAAGCTTTCTAAAATTGATGYTAAAGAGGTGGAAAAGAAACTAGCCAGTGAAAAGGTAACTTGGAAGTTCATCACGGAAAGAGCAAGTCATAGAGGAGGTCATTGGGAAAGAGTCTGTCGTCAGATTAAAGAACCACTTAGACGAGTTTTAGGAAAGGCGCTGCTAACATACACAGAAATGTACACTGTGCTTACAGACATAGAAGCTATTATCAATTCCAGACCGTTGACTTACATTGGAGATGATATAAGAGATGGCAGAATAATAACGCCTGCACTGCTCRCTGTTGGTAGAGATCTTAATCAAATTCCAGATGAGCCTAATCAAGAGATCAAATTGGCAGATCGTTATTCTTATCAGCAGCAGCTTAAGAATCATTTTTGGAATCGCTGGATTCGTGAATACCTACCCCGCCTTACTGTTCGCCAAAAATGGACACRAGAAATGGTTCCATTAAAAGAGAATGATGTCGTATTGATCACAGATGATAATATACCCAGAGGGCAATGGAAACTAGGAAAAATAGATCAAACTTTTCCTGGAGCTGATGGTCTAATTAGAACTGTAAGAATAAAGACAAAGCAGGGTTACGTAAATAGACCTGTGCAACGTTTACATTTACTTGAGGAGCACAAGAGTTCAAGTTCCCAAGTTCCACAGAGTTCGAGTTCCCAAGTTCCACAGAGTTCGAGTTCCCAAGTTCCACAGAGTTCAAGTTCCCAAGTTCCACAGAGTTCAAGTTCCCAAGTTCCACAGAGTTCAAGTTCCCAAGTTCCACAGAGTTCAAGTTCCCAAGTTCCA